TAAATAAATACTATTTTAATTTTAAGCAATAGGTTGATGTAATTGTATGTGGAAATGACCTTGGAAAACAGGAGGAAGAGACACAGACTAGGCAATGGTCAGATAAGCAGCAGCTAAGCCCACAGAAGGAATGGGAATGTAGCAAGCATCTCAGAAGGGATCCTCCCTAGTTTCTTGGACTGCAAAGGCAATGGGAGAGAGATATACTTTCAGATTTGCAAGATTCTGTTAATGTAACCTTACAGTAAAGATAGAGCTAGTACTGGGTGTGCTTCTTTTCTGGACTACCTCGCAAAGCTGACATCAACCTTGCAAGTCCTGTCTCCATCTCCTACTTATGGGCATGCCAGAAGTTTTATGAAAAACAAAACTGTGGACTAAGATAGGCCTTGGCTCAATCCAGTAGGGCCATTTTTCTGTTCTTATGTTCTAAACATGAAAACTATTTTATGCTGAAAGTTATCCCTAAACACTTATCCAAAATTTGGGATAGGTGACTGATAGATAACTGATATGAATTATATGTATCAAAATCTCTATCTCCACTGAATGTTCTACTTACCAGTAGATTCTCAGGTTTGATATCCCTGTGAACTATGTTCAAGCTATGAAGGTACTTGATGGCACTGGCCAGGTTGTACAGCATCCCACTGGCATCCCTCTCTGTATACTTATTTGTGGAGGTAATAGCATCAAAAAGATCTCCTCCCTGAAATAAGATAAATGTAACATATTAGCATCATTCCACTATGATTCTGGAGAAGGTTCATAATGATCAACAGCATCATTTTCTTTCAGGACATCTTAGAAGCCCCATTCTTGGAGAAAGAATGAAATATGTGGTGGACATTCCACATACCTATAAATGATGACATAAACTCAAAGAACTTGTCTACCCTAGAAAGAAATGTACTTCAACTGTTCTTGGATTCTATCATTTCAGATTGCCATTGGTGTTAGCATAGGTAAAATTCTTATACTATAAGTTAACATTACTTTAAAAAATCCTTCCAGTAATATACATATTGTAAAGCTCTTGCCAGCAGTTAGAAAGAGGAAAGGAAACTGGGATGTGAGATGTAAAAAAAGTAAAATATTTAAAGTGAGCAGGGAAATGTCGATGTCCTCTTAAGACCCTAATGCAAGGGGTCCCCAAACTCTTCAACTTATCAACTCTTCATGAAGTTTCAGATTGTTCACTGACCCCAAACATTTATTATATAAAAATAATTTAATAAATACTACTTTAACTAATGGTACTACAAATAATAACAACAACAACAACATCGACCCCTTGGATAATCTCATCAACCCTGGGTGGGTCAATATTGATCACTTTTGGGAACACTGCCCTAATGTGTTAATTTTACAAGTAACCTAACTGGGTATAATTCAACATTTTAGTTTTATTTAGCAAGTGTCCAGCTTCCCAATTTCAATCATACTATACATTTAACAGATCACTTGCCATTAGCTAGGGTGGTCAATAATACTGTTTGATTTCATCACTAACATTGCACCTGCACTTTTCTGGAAGCCAGACAAACTGGAAACAGCACTTAAAGATGGCTTTTTAAAAAAAATTAAAAAGGGGTGAGGGAGGGTGGAAGAACAAACCTTTTCACCTACCACCATAGGGCACTGACATCCAGAAGTACAATAACCAATTACTTATTTATTAGCTTCCAATAGAAATACTGCAACATTCCCTTTTTCATGGGAAATCGAAGTTAGATCCTTTGAACCACAGGAAAAACACTCTCATAAATCATGCTTGTTAAAATAACTAAGGCAATGCAAGGCTTGCATAATAATTTAGTCCCAGGATCTACAATGGCAGCTTGCCAGCAACCATGTCCTTTCACCTTCTCATAAGTCCTACTTGCAATTTATTTTTATTTATGTTTATGAAATGCCTTCTTCACATTTAAGGAGAGAAAGATGCGTCTGAGATGAAAACAGAATGTATCAGCAGCAAAAGGACCCACTTATATTAAGCTTGTTGTGACCAATGAAAGCAAAGTGATATTAACTAACATCTGGCATTCCAGCAGCTTTTTCCTCTTGAGAACCTTTGTCATTGGCGAATCTAATTTAAACTTTAGGCCTTCAGAAAGCCATCCATAGCAGATGGTTATTCAGCTGTAAATGGGAATTGTGAATGGATGGTTCAACAACCTTCCAAGAATACTTGCTTTACTATTTGAAAAAGGAGCATATAACAAGATTTATTCAATTTTAAACAGATAGGTCCATCATGGCATTCCCTTTTAGAAAGGGAATACAAAATAGTAAGGCATAGAAATTAAGTGCATAAGTTACGAAAATAAAATATAGCTAAATCTAATTTACACCAGCACCATTTGCTATACCTCTCCATATCTTTCTATTCTTGCGTAGAGGAAACGCAGGAACTTAATCACTTGGAAAGGAGAGGAAAACTTTTACTTCTAATAAAAGTCACCTAACAGGGCTATCTTTCTTTAAGAATCCAATTTGTTCTGTGAAATAGTATAGGGAAATGTATATGCCTTAGATTCCACAGCAGCCTTCACTTAGTAGAATTTTAGAGTTGGAAGGGACCACAAGAATGATCTAATCCAGTTTCAGGCAGACAGATCTTTCTTGCCTCCGAGCTACCTCTCTCCATTGCTCTGTTCCTTTTTTTTTTAACTGGGTGCACAAAGCAATAATCCCATCCAGTCACAAGATCCAATCACCTGCTGCCTTCCAGCAACTCTATCATCTGAAGACTTCTCTGCAGAACCACCCATCCAATGATTAAAGGAAACTGCATACCTTTCCATTTCTCCTTTGTTTTTCACTGCTTTATATACCCATCAAAGCTTTCACTATCACATAACACCAAATCTTTAACAAATACAGCTCTTCAAATCTCCTCCTGATTTTGTTCGGTTTGTCTTTTCTTTTCTTTTTTTTTTGGCCACTTCTTATCAATCTGGACTAAATCATAATCAGTTACAAAACTCCTAACCTTTCAGGTGGGATTTCCCAAGTACTCCTTGGTGGCTTTGAAAGAAGGGGATCTATATTCCTAACTGATAGTAATTGAGTCATTAGCTACATATGTAATGTCAGACTTCTGCAGTGGTTCAGCAGGGATATAGATTAGAAGTCAGCTTGTTTGATGCTGCTGGGTAGATCAATTCTTACTCTCCATGCCAGGAAATGCTCTCATGTTTAAGGAAACATGTGACATTCAAGAAAGAGACGAATAACTCCATCTCCGTAGAGCCTTCATATTACTAGCAGGTTTGATCCTACAGCTGGAGGGTGATTCTCCTCAATGTGACATGAAGGAGAGAGTGGGTTTAAAGTAGGCCATGTAGAATCCCAGTTCCCTCTTTGAAAGTTCACATCTGTACCATTGTAATGGAAATAATTTTGCTGGTTAATGTAATTTCCAGTGTACATGGCAATCTCTTTACAAGCAGAGGCTCTGTTTTCAGACATATCCTTAAAAACTAGTTCCTTGTCTTTACCAGGAATCATGATAGATATTAGTATGCCACTGAATTCTTTTTATTATTGCATGTTTTGGACCAGCCACACCCTGAAAGCCATAGCAAGGTATTCCAAATGGACCATAGAGCTAGTAGAATGCAGCTTTGAGACATCCCTCTTAGAGCAGGGCCATTAATGTTATAAGAATCCTTGATCATATAGAAGTGTTTAGCAGCAGAAGGATTTTCCCTTTTGGCCCTGGCTACATTATTTTTTGCATCCAGTGGCAATAAAAGTAGGTCTTTCTTCCTGGACAGGGATCTTGCTGTACCTATTGATTTTGGTTCTCACTACAGAGCTTCCTGAATTTGGCTCAAAGGAATGATGAATTTTTGTCCTTTATCCCATTTATGACCAATATTATAAGTATTCCTTTTAATTTGGAATCTGGATCATGGCTAGCTTGATAATGAAGACAAATTTTTGTGGGAATTTGTATCTGTGAATGTCTATTTCCATTTCTCATCAGTGGCTGTGTCTTCTCCTGCTGGTTACTTTGGGCTCTAAAATGATTTAGGAAAAACTATACGCTAACTGTGGCTACTTCTGAATAGTGTCCACAAGGCATTCTGCAGGCACTCCATTCATGATGAAGTAAATAAGTGGGCATATACCAAAGACTTTGCCACTGAAATATTCTATTTTGGCGAAGGCTATGCGGGCCAATTGGCTACCTGTATTTGGCTGCAAGATGCCTTCAGTTTTGTCCTGGTAGTCCTCACATTTATAACGTATAATCTGCATTGGTCATTCATCTTCGGAGTCCTTTGGTGGCCCTGTATGAAATGGGCACTGAAAAACCTTGGTCTTCCTCTAAAGATTCATTTAGAATTTCCTCTTGCTTGGCATTCATTCTGTTTATGAATCCTTAAAGACTGAAACATTATCTCTGTAAGCTCTGGTAGGGAGTGACAATATATACCTCTACTCCAGTCTTCTTTCTATCACAGCCTCAGGCTATAGGAGTAGTTCCTTCTTCCTCTTCTGCCCAATCAACTGCAAACTTAAACCAAATCCTGAACACTTATTTGAGAACGTTCCTTAATGTGCCTACTGTATGCCCCATCAGCAAATGGCATCTTCTCAAGCACTCAAATGCTAATTATAAGTGGTTCTTTCACTTTTTAAGCAAAACTTTAACATGGATGCTCCAGTTTCCTGACTTTAATCATAGTGTTTTTGCAGCCAGGTCCCTGTTGCTACATTGTTGCTATAGATTTTTAATAAAATGTCAGTTAGCCTGAAGTGTTTTTATCTCTCCAGGTAAGTGAAATTTGATTGTGTCTTTGGATTGTTAAATAATATTTTAATATGTCCACCTCTTCTTTAGAGATTCATAACATTTGCAGCATTGTCTTGCCTGACAGTATTCTAGTTCCTTTTCCTTAAAAGGGTGCCCCCAAAACTTGCACAGCCATCCTTCTGTAGATATTTATCTTGGTGTAACACATCTGGATTTTTGGGCACCAGTGGAAGCTCCATCCAAGTGCCCTGTTTCTATATATTTGTTCCTAGAATGTTTATGAAGAGCATTGTGCTATTTCTCTTCTTATTCTGACAATTTCCTTCAATCTCCTTTTGCAGTGCTTCCCCTTTATCCTGTTTGTGGTCACCAGTTGAAAACGAAAGACAAGAAGGGTGTTTGGTTGTTTGTTTGCTTTTAAAAGAAGAAATGTGTTTACTTGAAATAAAAGTAATTAAGCACAGGGTTCTCTTTTGTTAAGAACTTGGGTTTTTTTCTGAGAAACTGGGAACTTACATGCATTACAGATCCCACATTGGCAGCTTTCACTTAAAGTATACAGTTCTTTTTTTTGCTTCACCTAGCTATCCTCCTCTGTTGGTTTTTTCTTCTTGGCATTCAAACCAACAGTCTCATTAAATCCAAAGATTCAAACACCTTTCCCCTCTCATCAGCTGTCTCCTATCCAAGGATCTACCTGTAGGATGACCCACAAAACAGAATTAAAGGGAACTAAACTCTTTACATTTCCAAACCATTTACACTTCCACCACATTCACACATGGCTTCATGTATTGTCTTGAGTCTTTAAACTTTTCACTTCTTTTTGAAAATCTCAACAATTCCATCCAATCATGACTTTCCCTATTTTCCCCTTGTTCTTGACTTATTCATGTATTTGTTTTGTGATTTAAATCTCATTTGTTCTCTGCATATGGCAAAACCACCTGAAGTGCTTCTTTCATCCTGGTCATTCATTTTTGAAAGCAATACAATTCAGCACCCATTCACTCTTGGTCGCATCTCTCCATATTTTACCACATACGCTTTTTAAGTTTCACTTTCCCATTCAAGTACTCTTGTACTTCTGTTATACCCAGCTCTCATTTTCATATGGCAAATTGAGCAGAAGCATGCTTTTACACATATACATTTTAGCTTCTTTCAACAAACATTCATTCCTCACAATAAACTACAAAGTATCCATACATTTCTATCAGCATTTACAAGTTACTTCATTTTCCCATCTTCAGTAAACTTTCTATTGAGGAAAAATAGATCTGCTATGCTCCATGTTCTTATAAGCCCTATTTCCCTATACTGCAGATAAGATTAGAAATCTGGTACATGGCTTAAAGTCCGAGCAGAAGCAGGCAGACTTTCACATATACTTACTTTTACAAGCTCCATGACAAGATACAACTCAGTGGGCATATCCATTTCCTCAATCAGAAGAACAATATTGGGATGTTTGACCCGTCTTAAAATAGAAACTTCATTCTGAATCATGTGCTCCTGCATAAAAGGAGAAAAAATATATGAAAAGAGAATGGAAGAAATCCATACAGCTTCTCCAGGTCCTTTTGCTTGTTTAATGGGGTAAGTTGTTATAATCCATCAAGTCAATCCCAACTTCCAGTTTTCTTGGCAGAGATGGCTTGCCAATACCTTGTTTCTAGAGCTGCAAGAAAGACTGGTTGATCCAAAATCACCTCACAATCTTCTCTGCCTAAGGCAGGACTAGAAGTCATGGGCTCCTACGCCTTAATCACTAATCCAAACTGATCTCCTCTAATGGGGCATCCCGATGCATACTGTATATATGAAACTCGGTATTCATTGAGAAGTTTTAAAACTCTTATAAATTAACACCTAAGTCAATATTACAAACTAGCAATGATATTGTTACAGTAACTATGCAGAGGCTGAGGAAAATGAATATCAAAAGTAAAACAGGGTAGTAATCATAGGTAGAAGATTTCAACTTGCAAGTGCTTTACCTAGGTTTAAGCCTCCCTATATTCAATGTCTTTTGAATACTTGTCCTTTAGTAGGCCTGTAAAGAATTACACTTCCAATCTTTTAACTTAAAAATTACAAAAACACAAATCATCTTTTCCCAAGCAAAAAGGAAATATCACCTGCATTTTTCTTTAGATGTTTTAGCTATTGATATTTTTCTTCCTAGGACTTCTCCAAACCAACAGATTATGCCTTGACCTTTCATCCTTCCTAAACTGAACATCTTGTTGTTTTCATGTCAGGTTGTTTCCAAACAACTCAGATAATAAGCATGCTAACCTGATTTGCATCAAGTAGAGCTATCTGGGTGAAAAGGAGAAGGAGTATATATTCTTGACTAGATTTTCTGACTGAGTTTACTGTGTCAGGTTAGGTTTCTGCATGAAAAGATGCAACTGCAATAGTCAGAAGTTGCATGGTTTTGTAGAACAACTCAAAAAGTGGTTTTTAATTCAAAGTTAAAACTCTAAACAGTTTGGGACCAGACTACCCAAATGACTACTTTTTTACATATAATTCTGCTTGAGAATCAAGATCTACCCCAGAGCCCCTCACAGAATGGCAACATGTGAAAGGGCCTTTTCTGTGGCAACTCCCCGCACCCGCCGCAAGATCTATATTGCTTCTTCATTGCTTGTTTTACAATACAGAGGTCCGTTTTTAAAAATCAGAGTTTTTGAGTCCTCCAGAATATTTTGGATATCATGAGTTCAGATGTTTGTTGATACTTATATCCTGCCCAGTTCAAACATGTGCGGGTGGTTTAGAAGAATAACAATAACAACCCATAAATCAATCACTTCAAACCAAGACTCAACAATAAATATAACACGGCAGTCTATCCCTCATGAGCCAATATTAGCCTTTCGTACAACTCTGAAGACCTGCTGTTTCCCATGCATTTGGGTTAGGAGGGTAGGCACTTCATCATTGGAAGGTATGATTTACCTTGAGCATCATGGGTCATTGTTTTTATTGTTGGATTTTAATCTTTGTATGCCACCCAGATTCACTGCTGTGAGATGGGAAGCTATATAAATTATTTAAATAAGATGTAATGGTATGTGGGAAAGACTTTGGGAGATCGGGGGAAAAGATGCTGCTTAGGGAATTGTCAGATAAGAGACAGCATAGTCCGCAGCTGCATAGTGGGTAGGCAAGAGACTCAGAAGGGACCCTCCCTAAGTTCTCAGGCTGTAAAGGTGAAGGCAGGAGAATTGTACTTTCAGATTTGCAAGATTCTGTTAATGTAGCTTTACAATAAAATATAATTAGTTTATCTGGTCTTGTTTCCTATCTGGTAAGGCTGACATAAATACATAAGTGACAGGAACCATTAAAAACTTACACTAAATGCCCAGTTAAATAATCTTCACTGTCTTCAGAAGTATCAGCAGGGTGGGGGCATCATGTAACAAAAATGGGGTGTGTGTTCCAAACAGGAAAGACACTATCAAAGACTGTCTTTTGGGTCCACATCTCCCTGATTTGATACCAAGGCAGGACTGTAAAGCTTCCCTCCATTTATATATACACAGGCCAGACAGATTCCACTTGGAGGAAACAGTCCTGATGTATCTTGAAAACAAGATATGTAGGGCTTTATAAGTTAAAACAAACACTAATTTAATTTAATTTAATTTAATTTAATTAACTATGGTAATTGCACTCGGAAATCTATCAAGAATCAGTGAGGTAACCAGAGTTTGGATATTGCAATAGCAGTTCATACCTGCTAACATCTTGGCTGCTGAATTTTGTAACAGTTATAGATTCTGGGTCATTTTCAAAGACAGTCCTATGTAGACCACAGTATAGCATGGGTTGATGGGCTGCCAGGGTTTCACAGTGCATGTGGGGCTGTTGTTGGTGCACCTGTTCTTCAAGACAGAGTGCACTAGCATTTTCTTCAGGGCTGGTGGAACCTCACACTCCCCCAGAGAAGCATTTATGCACTTCCCTAATCAGCTACTCATCTTCCAAGCTGTTCAAAGGAGTTCACAGGTGGCCAAGTTGATATTACAGGGAATCCTATCCATTTCATCAGTTTCCACATGGCCAATGACTCCAAGATAACACCACAAGGCATTACCCATATCATCACATTAGATTCTGTCCAATTGATATGTAAATCTGAGCCAGTGTAAGCTATTTTTTTTCCATAAAGAACTTTGCAAACATGTCACAGGGGCCTGCCAGATCATTGTTCCATCTGGTGTTCATTAAATGTTAGACAACATTTTTTTTAAACCAACCACTGAACTGGGGTGCCTGCAGATTTGATCTTATCCAATAACTGAACATAAGCTTCCTCTGAAAAATATTAGGTCCCACTGTGGAGCTTGATACTTACCTTTCCTCTACATTTACTTTTTTTAATGATTTTCAGGGCATATTCTCTACCAGTTGACCTGATGAGAGTCAGAAGAAGGAAGAAACAGATTAAATCATTATAAAATACATAAAAAAGATCAGAATTTAGTTTGCCCAATAAAGTGACAACTATACGTTACAATTTAACAGAATAAGCTAAGATTTAGGCAGAGCAGCCTAAATATATACCTTCATAGAAATGGCTAGGAAAATCTCCAGCAGAAAATAAGAAATTTTTTAGAATTTTCTATTTTGTCACTGGGGCAAGCTGCTACAAAATGTGAAGAGGTATAGTATATTGATTTAAATAATATAATTTGTAACAAAAATGAGATGAAAATATCAAATATAAAAACCTTGAAGTTTGAATTCAATATTTAAAGCAAAGGCTTAGCAAAAATAAAAGATTTTTACCATATTGTAGCAACATTGCTCAAAAAAAAAAACAACAAATAGCAGAAGTCCCTCTAAGTAAAGCATCATTAGGTTTCCCCACTAGAGGGCTTCTTAGCATACAGAACAGTAGTTACTCAGAAATAAGAAACTTCTTCACCAAAAAGCTATCTTTATATAGATTACGATTTGGAATAATCCTCCTCCTCCTCCACTTTACATCCCAGCCCTAAATGTCCAACTTTTATTTTTTCTAAAAAAATCAAATTTTGTAGCACTTCAGTTCTAGTGGTACCAAAAAATATGCATGTGCTCTTTTATTCTTTTGCTCATTAAACAATAATATATCTAGCAGGGTATTTGAATTGCTCCACTCAACCCCCTTTCTTTACCTTCCCCCACCATAAAATATTACACTTCAGATGTCCTCAAATTTATGACAAAACTTTGAAAGGATAGACTGAGCTTACACAAATCCAGTGAATGCCCAGGAGAGACATATACACCATTTCCTTACTTTTTGCTCTGTTAAACCATTTGTTAAACTGCTGCATGAAACTTAGAGTACTGGACTTAAATCTGTGCAAGCACAAATTCAGCTGTGACTCAGCCTGGGCTATTCTTCCCTACAGATCTCATAGGCTTCAATAGAAGTAAAGAATAAGTAAGCTGCCTTGAGAGTCTTCAAGGAAAGGCAAGAATGAAATGCAACAAATAAATTCCACCCACTCCCTGAACTGGAACTGAATAGCCTCTTTATTTAATTATACACTAACTTATAGTGTTTCGATACTCCTGGTAAAGATTACATGTTTCATTTGCTTGTGATTGCACGGGTTGCTTGTGATAAATATAGTTTACCCTGATCAGGCCAGGATTTTTTTGCATATATCAGCTAACTGTACACATATATGCATGTATGCCAATGGCTGCTGCACAGGAGGTCCCAAATGCTCCACAAGGGGGACAGTGGGATTTCTCCCCCAAATTCCCTCCTTCACCAAGCAGGGAAAGAACAATACTGATGGAAAAAACAGTTCTTTTCTGCTGGGTTGATCCCCAGTATGTCAGATAAATGTTATTTATAATATTTTATATGTTATAACCAGTGCACCATTCACAGACTACTGCAGATAGCAGCCGCAGCAGATTTGGAAGTCAAACCTGAAAAAATTTATGTAAGGAAGGACTTTTCATTTTCAAGGTACTTACTGTGCCTGCCTATATATGATGCTTTTTAAACAGCATTAGTTTTTCAAAGAGCATATAGGTCCAGTAAGACCCAATTACAAAAAGAATAATTAAGAACGGTAGAAAATAAAAGCACTGTATTTAGATTGTTCCTAAAGAACATTTCCTTATAGGCCTAGCTGGAGTCTTTTTTCCCTCCTATTTCCCATTTTGTTCCTATTTCCCATTTTATAGGTGATGTGTATCACACTTCTTTGATACACATAGCCTATAAACAGAGATACAACCTAGGAGTAGTTTAACATTAGGAACTGCTTTAACAGAAAGCTCACTCACCTTTCTATACACTCTTTCACAATGGCAAAATTTCCATCTCCTATTGTCCGGCCAACTTTATACCTCTCTGCTATTGAGGCTGGAACCTGGAAGCCTTCATCCAACACTTCTGAAAAGAATTGTTGTAAGTTTCATTGGTGGAAAAAGCAACACAGATATGACATATAATACATATTTTACCTATACCTAGACAGCTTAAGATAATTGAAACCATCCAGAAACAGCATTTTGCAAAACAGAGAAACCATGTTGCTGATACCCCTCAGAAAGTTTCACCATATTAAATGTTAAGCTTATGGATGCTGGCCCAATTTTATGCATTGCTTGTATGATCTCTCTCACACCCATTGGTGATCAACTCACAAAAGTACTATTTCATCTCAATGCTGGATTAGTGCAACACAGCATAATTAAGTCTATCTACAAAAATCTAACACTCAAGTACTTCTTTTATTACACCCTGTAAGCTGAGAGCAACACAAACTTGCTCATGTGATAACTTCTATTTTTCCTCCTTTGGTATTAAATATTTGGTTTTTAAACAAGTGTTCTCAATAATGTCACCAACAAATGCAACCTGGACACCAGATGCTTAAAAAACTTTCACAGTTCAATCAAAAGAGAGGAAAAAGAGGTTCTATTTATTGTATTTTAGTAGCCATTAGAGAACCATTATTCTTCAAATATTTTTTAAAGAGCTGGAGCCATAAACCTTCACTTAAACTAACCATGTTTAGCTTTTTCAAATCATAACAACTTTGTATTTTTATTTTTAAAAACCTCTTACAATTCTGTTCTAAAATCAGTATAACAATTGAATTGTCCTGATCAGATAAATTCTCCTGTTTTGTTTTTGTTAAGCAGTTCTTACTCGGTTTGATTAAAGAGAATTTCCTTCAGCAAATTGAAATCTAAGGGCCACAACTCAGCTTCTGGGGAAAATCTGAGGGCTGCAAAGCAGATGGGACTACAGCACAGTTGTTAGCAAGGCAAGGTTGCATTTGGGGTTTCTCTATTTTTAGCTACTTAGCTTAACTTTATAGGGCTTACACAATAATTTTCATGTGTTTTCTACCTCAAAAAGGCTAGAAATTGTGCTATCCATTTTCAGCAATCATTGTTAGAGTTATTTTATTTATTAACTCTACTGTGACTCTTGGCAGCATACAGTATACAAAACTGAAAATAAAAACATCCACTCAATACCAAAAAAAAAAAAAGTCTGGAAAAAAACAGCCACCATCTCACAAATCAGTCAATCCACGAGCCTGACACCCATTGTAGCCTGAGGTGGGCAAAAGTTAGGGTGGGGCTGTACAAACTTTTGGGAAGATATCATTCCAGAGGCCACGTTCTACATCAGAGAAGGCCTGTTTCATGGGTCCCATTGGGTGATATTGCTTAACTGATAGGACCCAGAACATGCTGACTCTGCTGAATCATATAAAATGAGCAGCAACTATGGAAGACAGGTGGTCCCTCAAATAACCAAGTTCTATGCCATCAAGAGCTTTATAAGTGATAACCAACACATTGAATTGTACCGAGTGCAGCTTCCAGAGCAAAGGTGTTACATGGACATAGCAAGGCATACCGTGTGTTGCTATGTTCTGGACCAGTTGCAGTTTCTGAGTGGTCTTCAAGTGCAGCTCCATATACAGCCCATTGCAATAGTCCAAACACCAGGTGACCAAAGTTTCTTAGGGGCCCCCTTATCCAGATATGGGTAAAATGGCTCACTAGAAGAATCTATGTAAAGACCTTCCTAGCAAGTTGCCACTTGTTTCTTCAGCAGAAGCTGTGAGTGCAAGAATCCCAAATTCTGTACCAGTCCTGAAGGGGCAGTGCAACCCCATTCAGAACTAAGGATGGAGCATATCAAGATCTGGGTGGTCCAAATACCCAGAGTCACTTGGTCTTGTCAGGGCTCAGCTTGAGCTTGTTCCCCTGCCAACTGACTCCCATAGCCTCCAGACACAGGGACAAGGCCTTGACGGAATCACCTGGTTGGCCTGGGCTTGAGATATTCACTGGACGTTATCAGCATACTGTTGATACCTGGCATCAAACTCACCCCTGTTTTACCCATTCCTACTTTGAAATTATTTCTAAACAGGAAAGAAAGGAATTCAAAAAAATCTCAAGGAAAATATGATGTTCCTGCACTTTTTAAAATTGCAAGATGGCCAAGGTATATGCATAAATGTTCTAAGTTCATTTAGATTTGTTATAGCTACCCCACTCCAGTAGACTCTAATCATCTTACAAAATCTTACAATAAGTTTCATTGTATATTATTTCTCCAGCAGTCTACAGTTTCCAGCAGCAAGTTGATGGCCTTGATTGCAGAGGCTATTCGTGTACAGTTCAAAGACCTGAAGGGCCAGGTTGGGGACAGATCATTTGGAGAAGACCTATCTATGTGGTCACTGAGAGTCAACATCAACTTGATGGCACAAAATCAGTCAGTCAATTAATGGCTTCTCATATCTCAATTCATTTCCAAGGGAAAACATAACAAGGCAAACCTTCCCACTGGATAACTGAGAAAGAGGCCTATCTTTGAGAAATTGATGGATAATTTCTTCTTATTCTGAAAAATTTAATGAAATCATCCACCCAATTCCTCTGCCAACAAACATGGTGTATTTCACATGACCATTTGTGCCTAGCTTGTGATGAGATGCCTAACAAATTTTGAGAATGCAGTTAAGGGAGGAACAAGGAATTTTACAGTAGAAATTCCTATATCCAGGGAAGGGAGAGAAACAGATTAAAGAATATCTTACCCTTAATTACACTATATATAAGTTGTGCATGAAATTTTCTTGGTAGGATTTCAAGATTAATGTCATGCTTTGTGAGATTGACAAGCTCAGGAAAAAAGAACCACTTGGATTTCTGTAAAGAACTTTATTGCTTGTAAAAAATAATAGTAATTTTAAAACCCTACAAGTTCCTGGCTATGTAGCTTAGAGGCACAGAGGATTTCAGCCCTTCTTTGGGAGATAAACCAATCTCCTTAAAAATGTACAAAAACTAATATAATTACCAAAAAAAAAAAAAAAAAGCCATCAAAAGCTACCTGGCTTTTTCAACAGGCCTTGTAGGTAGGAATATCATGATGTGCTCCCTCCTGTAATTTGGAAATTAATTAATATAGAATTTTATTTTTTTCCTATAGCACTATGCTTTCTATTGCATTGTTATTTGTAGTTTAGGTTTTGTACCTTTACTTTATTTATGGAAACAGGATATGTAAACTGCTCAGAGTCAGTTTCAATTGAAGTGGCATATAAACTCAATTAGTAAATAAAATAGAAATCCCTTTTTAAATTTTAAATTTTAAATCTTAAATGTATACATTCAGTGTTGTAGAAAAGGAGTTATAGAGTTGCTTGAATCAGGGTCAGCAACTAAACAGAAAATCCACAAGGACTGAAAAAGAAATGTTCCTAACAGATCACATGATGTTAATGGTCTGCTACAAATAGGAATTTCTCTGGAAGAATGTATTTATTTACTTAAAAAATTTATATAGCCGCCCATCTTATATCAAACTCTGGGCAGTTCCCAAATCTCAAAATAGATGCTGCATGGAGTTCAACTTTTATCTCATAAGAAGATTATAAATAGCAATAATACACACATGCTCACCTTAAACACTGGGAGAAGCCTGAAATTACATAAAATTCACTAGCTTATACAAATAAAAATGACTTAGCAGCACATAAAAATAAAGGAAAGATGAAATGCAAATCCTGGGTAGAACATATTTACTTATTTCTATAGAAATAGCCATTTTTCTTAAAGTGAAGCCCTCCTTCCATTTAGTTGGAATTTCCTTTTTCCTGGAAATTCCAGCTTTAATCTGAGACTCTGCAAAATAACATTGACCCCTCTGAAACTCCCAGTTTCAGTCCATAACTTCTCCTTCAGTTCCCTCTTTCAGTTCTGTCTCTGCCTTTTCAAAGGACTCAATTTTTCTCTCCCTAGAAAATTCCTCTCCTCTCTGGGCTATCTCTTTGTGTACCTACATGAACAAGAATCATGCCTTACCTATAGATGAGGATTGCTGATATCTGCAGTCAGTGAATGATCCAGACTGGGGTCATTCAGTTCATTTCGCAGAAGATTATTATATAATATCTTTGTGGCATGAATATAAATGGTTTAGGAAATAACTAATTAGCTTTCAATCCATGGCAATCAAAACCTCTATACACAATCTAAACTAGAAAGTTAACCAAACAATAAAAACTTTCTCAAGATGTACTGGAGATGTACTCTCACTCTTTGCATATGATATAGAAGTATTTTGAATATTGGAAAAAAATGGAAAATGGCTATGGAAGTACCAGATTACTCTATTCAGTAATGCACAGGACAGTTGAATACAAAACATCAATTTCTCCCTAATACCAACAATCTTTCTTCAAATTTTAAAGGCAACATATAATAGAGACCTTTGTATTATGAACTTTCAAACAGATGCATTTTATCTACTAATATTACCTTCACCAGGCCCATCATTTTCATCCATTGAACTGCAGACTTTGGTAGAGGCTAGTGAGGTAGAGGAACCACTGTGCTGAGAGCTCTGGAAATGTAGAATTGGATTGGATAAAGATAATTAAATATGGTTTCAACAAGGCTAGATTACAAAAAAAAAAATCTAGAGAGTCTACCTGATGGGTGATCAGAAATGATATTTTTTTAAAAAATGCTCCTGAAACACTCTATCCTTGAATACTTTCAGAAACCATCTTCAATTTACTGCTCATTATGTAAAAACCTTCTATGCCACATTCTCTTTCCTTGTTAGCCTCCTAACCATTTTTGAACAATTCAGAACGTCTCTGTTAAAATGCTCTATCACTGAAAACGTATCGCTCTGTTTCTTTGAGAAATCTGCCATTTAGGATCTGAGTTACCAGTACATGTTCTTCTGCTTACTTACCTGTAAAGTTTGCTACAGGAAAAACTCACCACAGCAGAAAGGACGTTTATTTTAAAGGCCTGGAGGAAAATGTTAATGTTACTCATGCCAATATATTGATAGCCAGATTCTCAACCAATTGTACCAGTTTATCTACTTCTGACATTGACAATGTACCACCATCATAACAGTATATTGTTTGACATGGTAATAGTATTAACATTTGTATTAACTTATCCTAAACTTGAGAAAGTTTTGGAATACAATTGGTAGATAAATAGGACCTCTTGCAGACTTTATTCTTCAAATTATTTTGCTTGCCAGTCAACTAATCTAGCAGTTTTATATCCTTTCCTCTTTCAAAGCTTTTTATTTTTTTAATTGATTATCATATTTTTCCTTATCCGCATCTAGAGGATAAGTGTATTATTTTTATAGCTAGCTCTCATTGCTGTATTCTCTTTGAAGAGACGGCATAATATTTGAGTTACAATACCTGGACTGCAAAACTCTCCAAAGCCTCAGAGATTTTTAACATTTTAGAGTTTTCTGTATCTGCTTGCTACCATCTAGTGGTTTTCTGAAGTCTAGAAGCTGCAGTCCTAATAATAATGCCTCTCACGTCAAATTCCCTTTTTTACTAAATAAGGATGTTATCAATAGATTCTTAGCTAAGGGATGAAGTTAAAGATTTTTTTTTTTTTGCAATTACTTAGTGATCATAGGCAATTATAGTACAAAAGAAGCTAAAATCTATTCAATGTATACTTACTGTAATCTTTGAACACACTTCTTCTAAGAACTCCTAGAGTCACATTCATTCTGCTTTAATCTCTATAACTGATATGACTAATTTCTTCTTTTGAAAGGAGGATTTTACTTATCACTGCCTTCTCTTTTCTACTTTTCAGTGACAACTCTGTACTAACTTCATTTATTCAACATACTATATTAACAGATGGCTGCCAACACCAGCCAGAAATGGCACATTTCTTGGAATAGTCCATGAACTGCAGAATGTTCCCTACTGGCAGAATGAGTGGAGACAAAGAGTTCTTCTGAAGATTGGCTCTAGCTATTATAATAAGATTCATACATGAGTGGTGAATGTATAGGTCTGCAATCTTGCTTAAAGGCCACATATTCTCAGATTCACTCTTTCCAAACCTAGTGCCCCAAAGGCCATTACTGGCTGAGGGATCATAGAAGCTGAAGTCCAACACATCCAAAGAACATCAGGTTGAATAATTCTCTACCGCTCTCATACTTCTTTTATAATATTGGGAAGAGATGAGACAAAACAGTGGGAAGACCTTCCTAGAATATTAAAGATATCTGGGCATAAAACTCTCATGATAGCAATGATAATATTGCATGAACATTTCCTGATTTTGCACAAAGGAGACAGACATCAGCTGTCTGATGGGGAGGGATGGGAACTTAACACATGAATCAAACATTTGTATGGAAAGCCTATAGTAAAACCCCACACAGAGAAGATATCTGATATTACCATACAGTTTCACAGTAGAAGAACATAAATTACAAGTTTGTCTATATTGATTTATGTTTGCTTCAATATATTATTTAATTTAAAATAATATACATCATGATGTAGTTAAACAATCCATAAGTCCTTGACTTATGACCACAATAGGGAGCAGAAAATTCATCTTTAAGCAGTGCAGTCATTAGGCAAGGCATCATGTGACTGCATCCAATTTTATGACACTTTTTGCTGTGGTCATTAAGCAAATCACCATGGTCTTTAAGTGAAATACATGGTCATTAAGTGAATCACACAGTTGTTAAGTGAATCATGCAGTTTCCCATTGATTTTGCTTGTCGGAAGCTGGCTGGGAAGGTCACAAATCACGATCACATGAACTAGGGACTCTGCAACTGTCATAAATACACGCCAGTTGCCAAGCGGTCAAATTTTCATCATGTGACTACAGGGATGCTGTGATGGTCATAAGTGCGAGGACCAGTCGTAAGTCACTTTTTCAGCACCGTTGTAACTTACAATGGTTGTTAAAGGAATAGTTGTAAGTCGAGTACCTATAAAGCTAAATTTAAAAAGGAGATATGGGCATAAATGCAAAACCCTGTATCCCATATTCCTATATGCTTTGCTCTTTGCAAATACATTATTTAACCCAAAGATCTGCAAGGAGACTATACCAACATTCAGCTAAACACCTTCTTTAGTCTCCTTAACCTTACAAGCACCCTATTATAACAGGGCATTGGAGATGTGGTCTCTGTGAGTTTAGCACCACTCACATGAAGGCAAATATTTACATAGAATTATTGAATTGGAAGGGACCGTAGAGGTCATCAAATCCAATCCACTGCACATGGCAGGATTCACTGCACCATCCCTGATAGATGGCTATCCAGACTCTGTTTGAAAATATCCAGTGAAGGGGAGCAAACCACTCCATGTGGGAAGCTATTCCACTGATTGACAGCTCTTCCTGTCAAGAAGTTGTTCCTAATGTCTAATCGGTATCTTAATTCTTGAAAGATCACTCCATTGGTTCTAGTCTTACCCTCTGGAGCAAGTGAAAATAAGTCCAAACCCTCTACCATAGGATTTAGTGTAGCTCATGATTATCTTTTAATTGTTTCCAGCAAGACCTAAAGAGTTTCTTTTATAAGATAAGGTTATATTTTTACATAGAAATTACATAGAAAAATGCCTCATTTGCATTACATTTCCACCAGATGGTATGGCATGACTGCAGCAGAATTTCCAAAATTCTCTTACCGAATTATTCTCTCTTACCAAAATAAGGCCATTATTTATCTGAGTGAGTTTTATCTGATTTGTATTGAAATTTAACTTAGAGAGTAGCTTTCGATTTTGATTCATTCTTTTTAGATTAGTTACAAAAAAGATAATTCCTGAGTTTCTATTTCATACAAAAATGTATCTATCGGTTAAAACTGTACAGCAGAAGAGAGTCCATTTACTCCAAAGAGTAACTGGAAAATAATTCAGGAAAAATGCTTTTGTCCCTAAACAACAAAATCTGCATTAATTTATAAAATTAACCAGAGGGAAAAATGGCATAAAATAAGATTAATGACAATGGATTAGGAGATAGTTTTCCCACTAGTTTAAAGCAGATAATGGAATTTCATAGTGTTCCTGCTCAATAATTATGTGATGAAAGATAAACCGAAGATAAATGACTGTAGATTATTAATGTATTTAATAATATTTACACTGTAAATTCCACTGAGTTTAGTAGGATACACAGCTACATTTACGTATGACGGCAGCCTTAGTGCAGCAAGGCCAACTTTAATATAATGTTCCATAATTCTTCCACATAAATTCCATAAATTTGTATCACCCATATGCGTCTGTGGGGCTGGGAACTTTTCTGGAACATATGTGAGTCATACTGGAGATGGGAGCAAGAAGTAATCTAGTCACATAACATCCTGTTTAAATTTTAATAGGTTCCCCTCCACCAGCAATAAATTACTAAGATTTGGGCTGAATATATTTAAAAAATATTAAAGAAATGAAAGGAACAATTAAAGAAATTAGGGATAAAAATTATTTTAACAAGCTGTGGTTTAGCTTGAACACATTTCCAAACCTTTGAATTACTACTATGAGTCAGTTTTTGATGCCTGGCAACTGCTTGGACTAGTCCCTGCAGTTTTCTTGGCAAGGTTTTTCAGAAGTGGTTTGCCATTGCCTCCTTCCTAGGGTTGAGAGAGAGTGACTGGCCCAAGATCACCCAACTGGCTCTGTGCCTAAGGTGGGACTAGAGCTCACGGTCTCTAGCCTGATGCCTTAACCACTACACCAAACTGGTTCACTACTTTGAATAAATACTGAAATTTACAAGCCAACACTTATTTTGCTTAAAACATACTACAATTGTGGTATTTTCATTTTTTTCTCCACCTAATAGTTTGAAGATCTTCATATACCTATCATTTGAGATTTCAATATAATTCATTTTTATCTCAGTAATACTTAAGCTCTGCTCGGACTCCTGGATCACGAGCTGAACTCAAATTCATGCTTCCTTGAGCACTGTTTCCCTTCAGATCTTCAACTGAAAGCATGGAGGCTGGTGAAATAGGACTACTCACATGGTCTTAAAATGAGCACTTAGCACATTCAGGGGAATCCCTAGAAAGAGCTACACTGGCCATTTGACCTAGAATACTGCATGAACCTATTTAGTGAATGGAATCGTTTCCTCACAACTGATATCTCAAATTCCAATCTAAACATCATTATTATCAGGATTTGATCTGAAACTGTATTTTTATCAGAAGTCTGACACAAATAAGTGCTATCTGAAAATATTTTGACCAAACCTAAATGCATATATATTTAGGAATATATCCAATTATGTGCATATTTAGAGTAACTGTGCACAGTTTATTAGTCTCTTAATCATCTTTGTTCCTAATCTAAACCACAGCATTTCTGAAACATAACATTTTCCATTCTAAATAATAAATGCTTTCTTTTAACAGTTAAAAAAAAGTTTATTTGAATATTTAGATAGGCTAAATAAGTATGCTTCTTAAACCTTTAGTTAACTCCCTTGATCCACTCAGGATGATTACATTTGTCTCTAGCCCCTGTTGCTGCTTGATTCAAGAGAATGAAACAATTATTT